GATGTTGAACGCGCCGTGAATGTAAGTGCAACGGACGCAGAAGACGAGCGAGATGCGAGGAGAGGACGTGTGGAGCGCGCGCAGGCCTCGAAGTACGAAGAACACGGGCCGGCCGCCGCATACCTACACGACGCGTAATGAGAACATACCAGCATCGTTCGGGCTGCTATCTGCTATCAAACGGATACCACCGGTCCAGCCGCGGACGAAGCGCGCAACGCGCCCCAAGCAAGGGCCCAAATTTATCTTGCGCGCATCGCCGGGCGATGCGCCGCGCCGCACTTAAAAATCTCGCTCGCGATATTTCATTGCGATCATCGTAATTGAGATCTCGGCTTTTCAGCTATTCGTTCAACGGTTACCGTCGACTCCGTGCGCGCGCGCGCGCGCGCGGGCGGGGATGTGCATTCGATCGATCGTGCCCTTCGATCGTGCCGCCACGTCGGGTCTTAATCATAACTCCCGATGATGATTCTCGCTCGCCACGGCGAGCTCCGTACGATGCGAAACGGAAATCGTTTCGATGTCGTTGTTGAAACTATTTTTGTTTCACCGCGTTGTTTTAATTAATGTGATTCAATAAAGTATATTTTTTTAAATGTATGTTACTTGTATCACTAACGAGGATATCCGTACAACATGAGTGTACGAAATAACATTGAGGTGACGTCAAGTATTTTTTTATCTTGCTCTAGATTATTTAATTATTTAATTATTGGCTACGAAGGAGGAAGATTATAAAACTTAACACAATCAGAGAGTGACGTAAATATCTCACAGCAAAATATTGTATTAAATTTTCTATTTTATTATCTGAAATTTTGAGCGGTTGACCAGGCTCCTTTCGATTTATACAAACTTTCGTTTTTTTTCTCTTTTTTCCCCTAATACACCCTAGTCGACGCGCCGACCGTGAAACAATGTACCTCGTAACGACGAGATCGTCGGTGTGTGCCTTGTTCTTCGCGCCTGAATCTTCTTCCTGTTTTTTCTGTCCACTGCCTCTTCGTGTTTGCGACGATGTTGTGCTCATCGAAAAGACGCTATTAAATTCAGCGCTACGCCATCGCGATGATAGCGCGCGCTTTGTCCTGTCCGCTTAATTCTATATCCACCATCCCTTTCTCGCATACGCAGGATTGACATATTGACATATTGAGAATCCCGCACCGTCATCCCGCTGTCATTTTTATTAACATGTTTTCAACATTTTTCTTTATCAATACATGAATAAAACACAGTATATGCTAATAAAAATATGTCTAAAAAAGGAAACAAGTTTATATATAATTTTCATGCGCTATATACAGTCCAAGGAAAGTTTAAGAATGAAAAGTTCTTTAAAAATATTACAGGAGTGTTTCTAGATTGTCGGCACTTAGTTACTTTTTTAAAAAATTGTGAGTTGCCGCACGTTTTCAAATTTTCTATATGAAATAGACTTGATATGATAAATTAATTTGTTGTAATTAAATTTTTAATTTTTTAAGCATTTAGAAATAAAATAAAATAAAAGTTAATATTTTCTAATATTTCTACAAAGTCGCAAAATGTGATACATTGAAAAAAATCGCGTAAATATCAATCTCTTATCAATATGATTTCTCTTTAAAATGCCGATAATTTAGGAACACCCTATATATATATAAGGAGCGGACAGGATCGGTCTCTGAACCTGAGATAGGGTTATCTTCTCGTTAAAATGTATGCCGATCCTCCTCACACATTCTTTTACTGTACACAAAAAAACATTTTTGACAGATACGTGCGATATCTTCTATTTTTGTCTTCATCGCATAGTAGTCAATGGTATGTGTCGCCCAATCTAAACACGTTCGCATACACGCGATTCTCCCGTTTCTCTCGTTCTTACGAGCAAGTCACTCGGATTTCGTTTGTTATAAATATTGGCATTGGTAAGAATAGCGATATAATTAATTGGCAATTCCACATGTGCCGCATACGCATGACTATTGCTATATATGCACGTACACGTACGATTTCTAGAATTTTCTCTTATCTCTTTTTTTTTTTCGCCTTTACATGTATGCCCGATTCCACTAATGTAGATTAACTTTAATCTCTCTTCAACTTACTCTTCCTCTTTTTCTAGTTTTAAGAATTAGAAAAAGATAGAGAGCAAGTTAAACCGAGATTAAAGTAAATCTACGTTGATGGAATCGGACATTAATCGATTCTACGAACTATTTTGTCCCTTTTAAAGATATCCTCTATTCCCCTTGTGAAATTATCTTCATGTGCGTTAGAATTTCAGCGACAAATTCAAAGAGCCTTCTTAGACGAGATTCTTTGCCAAGATTATCGCGAACTGATTGTGCTATAATACTTACAATTTTTTAAAGATTTCAATTTCTTTATAATTTATTATTTTACAGCCACATTTTGATCATAATTCACAGAGCGTGATGCTGACGATAAGATATACAATGGACAGGAGTGCGGGGTTAAATGAAGCTCGACGATGAAATCTGAAAATTCGTATCTAAATCAAATTTCGAAACATATGAATTTTGAAATATAATTTTGATGAGTTCCGATTTCGATGGATTAAAAATACGAATATGATCTCCATGTTTATTATATGATAAAAAAAAAATACAAACAACAAAATACAAACGTGAAATAACTTGATCATTCTCTCAATTGAACTCATCAATATTATATATTTTGGATTTGGATTGTTTCTCGACGTTCAATGAAATCGCATCACTGCTGATAAACAATTCCGACAAAATGACGGCGATCGTACAAAATGGAACACAAGTTACTTTGTTTTAGCGTTAACTTTTATTTGAACAATTTAACGTAACGTCACTGTTAATCAGCAGTTACAAGGATGATCATGAGACGATGAGATTTAATAATGTCGTTGAAATGAAAGAATCTTGGCAACATCCACGAGCGTGTGATGATCGTCGAGGTAACAACGACGATCGTCGCGAATAATCCACAACGTGTTAGGAACCGGAAACGGATACGGACGAGGATTTCCTTGGACGATCTTCGCTACTGCGACTCGTTGGATTCGTCGTAGGGCGGATTGTTTCGCATCAACCTACTTTTATCCATCGATCAATCGAATATTCGAGGGCGTTCACCCACCTAGAAATGATAATAGAACGTTATTTGCGGTGGACGTGCGTGGTAGCGTTAAATAAAACTAAATCTTTTTAATTAATTAAATGAATTTTTATGAGAGGGAAGAATTAAGTAGTCCGTTTGCAAGGAAACGAATACCGATTACCAGACTTATTATTTAACTCTGTTTATGCTTTACCGTTTCTTATCCATTTCTGATTCAGTAGCGAAGACATAGCTCCTTTGCGTGGGATCTGGCGGTGCCAACTCGAAAGCGTGCTTCCTGCCGCCGGAACTCGGAGGGTTGCTATTTACCCTGAAGCCGTGCAGACACGCCACGCCGAATGCTTTCTCGGCGTTGGCGTCATCATAGAAATACAACGCCGCGTCCTTCAGCACGCAATACCGTCTGGACCAGCCGGTGGGCGAGGACGTTCTTCGCGCATGTTCTTGCTGTTTGTTCAAATACCCGAAACAATCTGGCCTCTGAATAGCGCACGCGGCCATCTCTCTCATTCTTAACGAGGAATCCAGCCAAGTGTCAATCTGAAAAAAATATGGAGTAGCCACTTAAACAAAAGCAATTTTTAGCTAAAAAAAATTAGAAAGGATAAATACAAAATATTTAAAACAATTGTATATAAACGAATATAGTATTCATATAGCGGGATATTTGAATACTAATTTATTTTAAAGTTTAAAATAGGCAAAATTGGACTGACAGCACGCGACTAGCTTTGTATACCTGATTGTTCCTCTCGACAGCTTCGCGTATAACCATGGTCCATCGAGCCGCCGCTTCTTCGGTATCAGCCGCCAATCGTAATGTCGGAGCACCTTTTTTCTTTATCGCAAAACTATGCGCTTTCAATTCAGGCGTCTGCTCCACGTCATACTTGAGAAGCATTACCGCTCCCACCGGTTGCGAATCCTGTTGCGATAAATACATCTTAAGAAGAAACTGATTATTATTATTATTATTATTTTTCACCTCAACGATCTCTATTTTTTAGTTTTCAAATCTTATTGTTATTTAGTTTTCAAATCTCGTTTTTTTACTTTTAAATAAAAAGTTCAAAAATCTATCTATTTGAGATTGCTCCTGTCATGTATTAATTCATAGAGATTCTTTATGTAGAGATTTGCAGGTATTGTTGTACGCGCTATAAGTTCCGCTTTATGCTTTTCAGAGTTGGAGGTGATTTAATTTATATTTACCAAGTCAGTCTTATAGCAGTACAGGCAGTTGTCGCGACGGAGAGCGAACCATCGTCGAACCCACTTCTCCGTGCTCGACGTGGATTTCCTCCACAAATATCCCGAGTAGAGCGGTGCCTCTTCAGCGCTCTCCTTCATTCCGGTGCGCGTAACGCGCGGTGCCAATACGTTGCAGGTCCTTGCCACTTCTAGCTCGAGAACGTCCGGGCCGGAGTGCGCCATTTTCACGACCTCCGAGTGGGTGGCGTCCATGACGCTTCTGCCGTTCACCGATATGATGATGTCGCCAATCTCGAGACCGGAACTCTCCGCGGGCGCGTCTGGCTCGATCGCGGAAACCACAACGGGCTTGGAGCCATGAATGCGGAATCCGAACTCGCCGCCAGCCTCGCGTTTCACAATTACCCTCTTGTCGCTTTCTGTAAACATTAAGCATAGTTCACGGCTTTTTAATTAGGGCTCTTTATCACGACATTCTTTCCAACCGGCAAAATTCATTTCTTTTTATATTTTTTTAATAAATCTTAGATTATATAGAAATTAAAATAACAAATTTAAATTATAAATATATATTATTCATTACATTCATCATTACAGTACGATAAATTTAGATCTCCTTAACAATTTTTTTTATTATCTTAATTTAATTATCTTAATTTATTTAATACTTTCATATGTAAAACTAAAAAAAAAAACTTGACTCTTGATTTGATCTCAGATTACCGTATCTATTTTATAATCCTCATACAATTTTTTCATTTTTATAATATGTTATAATTTTTTTATATTTACATCTACAGAAGAAAACGTTATGTTCTCTTTGCCATGATTTCACCTGTTGAAATATAAGACTTGTGAAAAATTATAACGCATTTTAATTCCTCTTAGTATTTAACATGCAAATCCAAATCCATAGACGGATTATATTTAGACGAGAAACGTTTATATGCGAACAAAGGGAATTATACGCAATAAGAGAAAGAGAGAGGGGAAGGGGGGGAGGGGCGGAGGAATGGTAAATTGTTAAGCCTCGTGCTTTATAGCCACGTTACGTAGTATCGACCGGCGTTTCATAGACCACGAGAATAGTGCGACACGATTATGTCCACGCGAGCACAATCGGGCAAGTAAATCGGTCGTTCTAGATCGGAAAAGAGCGAAGCGGAAGAAAAATGGATCGGCGATGGCACGCGACGTAGACGAGCTACGCAAAAAGACGGAGAGGCGCCGCGTCAGCGGCGCGAGCTACAAACGTAATCGAGCATATTTAGAGCCCAGACCTTTTCTCCTTCGTGATACAGAGGTGACTCCGCTCGCCGTCACGCCGCTGTCGTGCCGCTTTTATTTTTGCGCCTATGCAGGCTCCACACCCGTTTTAGTCCCCGCTTTGATCATGAACGTGAAAGACGTTGGGAAAAAGCGCGACTTGATCGTGCGCGCGAAATTCATCATACACGGCATCGTAAGCACTGCCGAGGTATGCGGGATATACATAGAGACGATGATGACAACGGTGGTGTGTAGTATACACACCCCATGCACCCCCAGGTTTCACCCCCCGTACGTCCGTCTATGGACGCTTTGATCCACTTAAGCCCGATTAGAAAAAAAATGTCAGGGCATTAATAATGCCACATAAATGTCAGTAATGTCACGTTTTATCAATGGATTAGATTCCCTTACGATACGTGTGCTATATTAGATGCGCGTATTTAATGACGGGGAGGAGGACTGATTGAGACATTCACGAACTATGTCTCGAAGATTCTTGGCCAACATTCGATCGTGTACATCTTTTAATTTTTATATATATATATATATATATATATATATACTATGA